ATTTTTAGATACTTTCACTTTTGAACATATTGGAAAGCTAGAATTTTCAATTTGCTTGCTATTTCTAATCGTACAGTTTAAAAAAGTTGTTGTCCGTGTTTTGTGTGAAAAATCAATGCATACGAGAAATAGAAATTAATAGATTCGTTTATAAAATATTAATAAATAGAAATAAAAATAAATTTATAAAATATTAATAAATAAAAATAAAAATAAATTTATAAAATATTAATAAATAAAATCAATAAGTAGAAATTAAAAAATAACTGCCTCGATTTCAACAGAATAATTTTCTGTCCAAATTGCAGGACACAAGAACCAAGTGAAAATATCTGTCTTCAATCATTTTAATAAGATCAAAATTCTTTTAATTCGTCTACCGTATAAAATTTCACTTAGTCATTTCTTTTATATAAATACATGATATAATAGACGCGATAGGAAATGGCTCGCCTAAGCAATCTATCCAAGACCTCGTATATTCTTCCAGTTGTGAGCTGTTGCTTCGCGAATTCTAAAAGCGCGTCAGAGTTTACAGAACTTTAGCTGCAGACACACACTGGCACTTCCGGTGAAACAAATAAACGCTTTCCGAGAACACATCATGAAATAATAAAGGCTGCGGATATTACAGTTCCCTTGAAACTTTATATTTTTCTGTAACACGGATGATTTACGTTGAAAGATTAAGGCTCTTCGAGCTTTACGATGACCAATGATGTAAACTTGAAAAATAGAATTCTCGATCAATGAATCCATAGCGAGTCCTGAAACTTTGCAAGTAATTTTGATTATTTTATCTCGTACAAATATTATTTTTGACTAATTTAGCGAATCCACATTATTTCACGAAAAATTATCGATTAACTTTGTTAATCAGACAACTTAAGATCTCCGAAATGGCTAAAAGCTTGAAACTAATCAAAAAAGACGTCACAGAAATGCACTAACATAAACGGCGGATACTTTGCCGATCATATTTCTAATTTATACTTTCTGCGATTTAATTTGCAATGCAATCATTGTACCTACAAGACTTTAATATTTTCTGGCTATCTTCCAGCAGCAATAAATTGTACGAAAATGAATTAATGTAGTAATGAATCGAAACTGAACGTACCCATATCTCGTACTCCCACACTTCCCGCCGCTCGGTTTGAATTCGAACGCGCTCGTGTAAATGCTGCCAGCGAGAACTCGACGAAGCAGTTCGTCCAACACTGGTCGATAAGATACAGTTGTCCGCAGCATCAATTAAAACGTGAAACAAAATTAATGTCACAATTACTAGTTCATAGCTCCTCCGATCCTTCGTTCGTTTAATTGAAACACTTCCGCAAGCTGCGCTTCCTTCGTTAACCACATTATCGACTGGAAACTGACCCGAAGCATACCCTTTACAAAATTAAATGAACACTTACGATACACGAAATAATAATCTCAATAATGTCCAAAAAATGTGAATTCTGCATTACCTGTGCACATCAATTTTTCCTTAATAAATTACTCCAAATTAACCAGCCAGTTGCTCTCGACGAGTACACGCGTGATAACACAAAGTATCGCCATTCCTTCGTGGCGATTATACTCGTGAAAAACGGCTAACTGATTGAGAAGGATATATAGTTTGATATTCAACGTTAAATTACATATTTCGTAGAAGCATCGTATTTAAACAAACTATGAAGAAAATCAAACGTATACAGTGCAGTCACAATAACTTGCACGCTTTTCAAAGCGATTGCAACAGCTAACCAGTTAAATGACACAATCGAAACGCTTGTTAAGCAGCTTATTGTGCATTCGTCGTTCAAATTTTCGCTTGAAAATGATCATTTTCTTCATAGATATCGAATGGGTCTGCGTTCAAGTGAACGGCGCCGCGTTAAAAAAAATCGATTGACCATTGGTGTTTCAGAGATTGACCATTGCACTTTGAGAAACGGCAGAGGGACCATAAATATTGGATCGGCTGAACAAAAACTCGAATAACGATCGTTCGGTTTTTATTAGATGATAAAACGATCCGTGGGAGGATCGATTGGCAGATGGCAGTAGCAACGGCGTTCGGCGTCGCGGCGGCGGCTCATAGACGCGAATAGGTGCGAATGTAACAACGAGAGTCCACCCCCGCGTTTTCGTCATTTATCGTGCAACCGTTGCAGATCGCACACACGGCCATCGGGCTCCGCGTACAAAGGCCCTCCTTCTTTAGAAATATCTTGCCCTTGTAAATTCGCCGTTACAAAGGCCAGCGTATTTTACACCGGCAGGAACAGGGTGAAGCAGACACGGGTATGAAAGGCTCTCGCAGAGATTCGAGTCATTGAAAATAGCAACCCGTTGTTGCTGAGAGCATTACCGCCCTTTGTCGCGGCGAGCCTTTCTTCCTGATAGCACAGATATTGCCTATCGTTCGAGGAACTATTTATTTCAGAAGATTAATCGTACCTACGCCGATGCATTTCTCTTACATACTATCGCTCGTTATCGGTCATTTCGATCACTGGATGATGGATCCTTGACAGACAGACTTTTCCGACTGATCGGCGACGCTTAGATTCTTTTAGATCATGCTGAATTTTTTCGATATTTTGGAAGTTTGCATTTGATTCGATGCAAGAGATGTAAAAATCGAAATAAGCTGTCCAATTTGTATGAAAGTATAATGATATTATTATTCAGAGTTGAAATTACCTCGTTTATATTTAAAACGATACATATTATAATGTATGACGTTATTATCGATGGCTGTTCGATAAAAAGTTATTCAATAATGTATCATTGTTACCGAAAGGAGCGATTTACATAAGACTTGTACAACATTTCAAAAACTGCAACGAACGAAAACAGAATTTTTTGGTATCGATAAACCAAAAATTGTGTCTCTTCGCGTCTGGTCAAACAGCTATCGATTTAATCTTATCGCCGCAATCTAAATTCTTAGACGATGTCTTTAACGCATCTAACGATTAAATTAAGTTATCACCATAAATTTTCGCTACAAGAAAGTTGATGAACGCCCGATCCGAATATTTTATGATAATGTCCGAGGACAAAAGTAACTAACAAAAATGTAATTTATGTTACCGTTGATCACTCTTATCGTTAATGCGGGGTATGGCCATCCTTTAATTATACTTGGCGACCGCTAATTTATCGATGATGAATCGGAGGTTTTGCGACGACAAAGTTATGTAAGAATACCGCTCATAATGAAGAAAAACATTCGAGAGAAATACTTTTACGCCTGCGTGGTGATGTCTACGGTACTATATTTAGTCCGATAATTACTTCATTATCTGCATAACGTTTTTAAAAAAGCATCACGCCTGTATCAAACGTTAAATGCAACATTTTTTTTGCATACTATCGGAGATGAATAATAAGTTCGATGACGCAAAGATTATTAAGATTTCACCGTCTAGCGCCGAAAATTAACAATCCAAATAGTCTAGACTGCTATCCCGGATGAATATTTATTGTTTGCTCGAAACTTGGTATTATTAATTACGACGAACGATCTTACGACACCGATGCGTGAAAGAAAGTCAATATCCAAGGTTGATTTGGAAATTACACGCGATACCATAGACTTTATTAGACGTAATACGGGTTAGACTATATCGTGATACAATTGTGCAACGATAGTGATAGCATTTCAAATGCAAAACTTTCGAAAATTCACGGAAATTATGTAATTCCCTTATCTGCTCTCCATTTGCGCAAATACTTCATGCTCCGCAAAGGAAAAACGCACGAGGTTGAAACACATCATGTGACTGCTGTGCATTAAAGCGAAACCGCGTTCTTCGAACAGATTTCCTAAAAGACACACAAAAAGGCCTCGCACACAAACCGCACTTCTTGCACAATTGCTTCTCTTCTTTTTCCTCCCGCCCGGACTGACCATTCTTACAAAACATTTTTTCCACTAGCGCAACGCGACATTCTCCTCCGCTTTATGTCTTCATTAGCATTATTGTGCTAATTGACGCAGATCGACGCCCGTGAAGTCCGACATTCTTTTCGAAACTTTGAATCTCTTTCGAACGAACCAATACAATTTTTAGCGATTTAACGCTCGAACGGCGAACTTGTTCAACAATAACGTAACCGAGTATGCTTGGGATCATTTATACTTTATTTATCAATTTTTTCGACATGTTTTTTAAGGTACTTCTTCTAGATATGTTAGTCTTTCTGTAGAAAGACTAATGGAAAAAGTGAAAATTTCAAGTAATTGTGAGAAATTAGGTACTTAAATAACAATATTTACACTCGGGATTCAAATATGTCCGAGCACCGCAGTCCGAATGTTATAAAAAATGGACGATTGGGGAATAATCGTGTCTCCTATTCTCAGATCGTTCATTTTGTTTACAAACCGAGAATCAATTAGATTCGCTATAATTCTATTCGTAAGTTAAATCTCTCGCAGAAAAAATCGTTCGCACCGCCTTTCTTTCGCGTCCGCGATGAAGCCATTGCCCTTCGAGTTTTCTTCGAGCTTGTAAAAATACAATCAAGTTAGACGTGCGACCTTTGCACTGAAAATCCTGCCGACGTCACCGGAATTAAATAAGTTAGCCGCCGCGGAGACAGAGGAACAAATGAAACACGTGAGAAAAACGTGCGAAATTGTTGATAAAGGTGAGCGAAAGTGGCGACGGGTCTCGGCGGGTCTGCGATTAACAATCGGGAGACGTTGCCCCCGGGGATCCGAATTGAATAAATCGCCGTCACGCTCGAAGAAACCTTTTCGTACTCGGGCTAGCACTCGAGCTAGAAAAAGGGTTTCGTCTCTCGGTTTTCTCGCGGTACAATCCCCTTAACGCGAGCGGATCGAACCCCCGCCGGTGCATGCTCGAGGTGCTCGAGAGATCGCATCTTTTCACGAATGGTCTCACGTGATACCACTATAATGTCATACGTCGTAACGATCGCGGCATGGTAATAGTCAGCGCGCGCGGCTGTCACGCTAGCCGGCCCGACTCGACTCGACTCGACTCGACTCGACTCGACGCGACTCGACGCGACGCGACTTGTCTCGTCTGGTCTCGTCTCGACCCGCTCCGGCCCGACTCTCGCATGGATTCATTCAGCGCGCGTGCACAAGCGTGAACCGGTGCAGAACTGATCGGATTAATATTCCGAAACTGTAAACCATCGGAATCGAACGAGCATCCTCCTACGGACCGGGTTCCCGCTTCTAATGACGTCGGCGGCTCTTCACCTCTCTCTCTCTCTTTTCCTCTTTGTCTCCGTCTGTTCGTCGACGCCGCGCCGAGGCCCGACGAAGTTATGCGAACCGTTTCAAGGTATCTAGGTTTACGACGTAGACACCGATTGCTTGTTCTTTGCTTCTGCCCCGCCGTGCAGATTGATCTTTCCCGGTAAATCGGTCGACTGCTGAAACACCTACGGCTCTTGCGAAAATTGGTGCACAAGCTTGTCGCTGCGGATCTTTTTGCTGAAGATTTTCTACCGTGACTCCGGCAAACAGAATCGTAATTTCTTTCTTCGAGCTCGCGAACCTTTGGCGACGGATTGCCAGATCTTTGTTCGAATCCTCGTCGTTTTTTGATCTGTTGTTTGAACGACGTCGGTGAAATCGATATCGAATCTCCTTAGTCGAACTGATACGAATAATTTGCATTGCAAAAATAACTACGCACAGTCGCGTCGGAAGATATGTTGGCAACTTCCAAAACGCAGTGTACTACGTGACGAGATTTTTAAAACTGGACCGAACGACTTGAATTGTTTTTTTTAAGATGATAGAAGAGCTAGTTTACTAGACAATGGCTAAAGTACTTTTTTCAATTTTGCTATTACTTGGAACGATAGTAGAAGATGAAAGACTTCTCTATTTTTGACTTTTTTATCTGAGCCTATATCGAAGATTTTTCGCGCCATAGATCGTCTGGTAATTTCTGTCATGATATTGACAGTATACTTTATGAAACACGGAATCATCTGAAGGAACCAGAAACGGACGGCGGAACTGATCGACCGGATCGAAGACCGAATTTTTTCACAGCTAATATATTCCAGTCTCCGAGGAGAGAGATCGACGAGTTTGACGGATAAAATGAAAAGTCGTTAGAGCTTCCACCGAATTAGAGGTATGATGGAAAGTTCATTATATCGCGCTTTTAATCTGTCGGCTTCGTTCTCCTTAACCACTTGATTTCTGTTGTGGTAGCCGCGAGGTCATTGCCCATGTCCGAGGTCAGTTCGAGTGGCTGTTCGCTCTGCGTCTGTGAGGTATGACGAATTTTTTCGAATTTATGCGCGACAGCCGTGCGCCGATATAACAACGAGCAATTGTTCGATAAAAACTGCGTTCCGTGGAGAATGTTTTTTGATATTTCATAAAAAAATTCCGGTAGGTAGACCTCGCCTAATTTTACAAATTGCCCACCGACACTGAGAATGTTTCTGCAAATCTGAACTAAAAATATAAACTAAATCCTATTGTCTAGCCATAATAATTAACCAACTGAAACATTTTTACGTTAATACAGATTCTCGCGTATCAGCTTGAAATCGTTGTAATCGCAGAAACCGTACAAATAAAATAGAAGTGTAGGCACGTGAAACATTGATCGCTATCTTCTATTGAATGATTCCCTTTAGCTTCGTAGATCTCGAAAATGAATAGACTTTTAACGAGGGTAATTCTTATCTCCGACGCGATTAACAACCGTCAGACATTATTAGCGCAATCCGCTAATTTTTCATCGGATCTTAATGAACGGGGCACGAGCGTTTAATCGGATTTGTAATAGGTAAATGATTATCGACGCTGAAACCGAAACTCGCGGCGCCGATGAATATAGAACAGACTGAAAATTCCGGGTCCTGGAAACCGGAGGAGTCAACGACCAGACAAAGCGGAATCGGGATCGATGGATTGGGAGAAAGAAGGGGCGAAATCCGTGAAACGCGGCATTGGCGGAAGGTAAGGTGGACAGTGGTCAGAGGGTCAAGGGTTTGGCCGAGGCTGGTCAAAGCTGATGGCCACAAGTGGCCGAAGAAAGTGAAGGGCCGAAGTAGATTTCCAGAGCATCGTTCACTTCAAAGACGTCGGAATATCTCCATAATTCTCTGCCTTTACGTTCACAGGGGAAATGATTACTCTAGACTGTGGATTTATTAAAATTTAAAACGATGAAAGTATTCAACGATCTCAAGGAAATCCGACACTCCTTTCTGTTCCAATTGTCGAAGATAATTTTTATTTTGCACAGAAAATCCGCAGCCTAATGATCACTGTTCCCAAATCAACGATTGCAGATCATTTATTCACTCGATCTATTCCAGCTTTCATTAATCGAAATTATTGAAATTATAAAAATACTTTTAGTGAGAAATTTGTTAACGATCCTCTTTGTTCGAACACTTATTGTAACAAAAATCTGGACAAGTCTGAATAAATCCGATCTCGTCATTGCCATAACTAGATCGCAGGTCTCTTTTCGAAAGAAAAATGATCGAACAGAAGTTAAATAAAAATTGTTTTCCTGAAGTTACCACGGTCTGAAAAATTCAAAGATTCCTGATGTCCGTTCATCTAACCTTTTTTAACGTCTTTCGTTTACCAGAAGCCTTATTAATAGGATCTTTAATGACCGAGTAATTCGCAAACGAAGCTCGATAATTTTGTATTATCGCCAATGCAATTATTGTCGCTTTCTGAACATTTTCAGAAGATACAACTGTTGATCTTCGATACTGGAATGATTGTTAGAAAATTGCCGGCGGATGAGGTGTTAATAGCAGTGGGTTTTCTCAACTGTTCATTGTACTCCGCCGGACTATAGCCAGTGCATCGTCGGAGCAACATTTTATCAATAAGTATGTACACACACTTTCCACTCGAGCTACGGCAACGCGAACGGGTATGTAATTCCGAACCCGTGTCCGACAATGTATGTACATTGCTCACGATTATCGAGCGAGTTGCACAAACGCGTCACGTCGGCTCGCGCACAAATTAGGAGAAAATTCTACGGAATTTCGCAAGGCTTGATTGCCTAATTTTGAACTTTGACGTCAGCCGGCCATCGTCACATGCCAGAGCTCTCTAAAAGATTAACATCGCTGGGAGTCGTTATGCCTTGTTTAGACCTCGCATTGAATTCCTTCGGCAATGGCAAGTAGCCACGACTGACCTCATTAAAGCGCGATCTCTTGCTCGTACGCAAACAAAAAAAAAGAAAAGAAAAATACGAGGGAACCGCGTCGATCGCCGGAAACCGTATTCGATTACACGGAGCAATTACATTAAATATTATCGAAAAAAATGGGTAGAAACCCGGAGCAGCTCAGGTATCGCGTAAACATAGATTTCGCGGAACAATTACGACGGAAACGACGTCGATCGTTGTTCTTAGGCTATTGTTCGACGGGAATTTCGAGAAACGCTGCTGCGCCGGAACTCGATGACTGATGTTCAACACCCGTTTTTTCCCCCCGATGCAGTTGCACCGTGCGTCAGCTGGAACGCAACAGAGAATTTTTACTAATTACGCAAGCGTAATGACGCAGGCTGCCAACATCGGAAGCTGGGAATTGGATTTGGCCCGCAGCCTCAAGGATGAAAACGATTATCTATCTCTACGCGCGTCGAGAGCCGTTGGAATCGTTGGGAAACGAGAAATCGTTCCTCGTGCGTTGCTGCATTAGTATTATCGGGAATCGTCGCGCGTATCCTCCTTTATTTTTTCCTGTCATCTAATTTTCATGATCGCACGAGTTGCGGAATTACCCGAAGCCTTTTCTCGTCGTCGACATTGCTCTCGCAAGGCAATAAACGTCTCGGAAAATCGGGGCCAGGGGAGGGGGGGGGGGGTTGTAAATTTCGCGCGTCATACGCTCAACTACGTCTCTAAAAATACAGGGACCGAGAGTTAATGGCTCGGGACATTTGTTTGGACTCGAGAGTCGTTCGAACAAATCATTTCTTCGGCGTGATGCAACGATTATCGGTCCAGCATTATTTGTTTCGTTATTTAGGTTCGTTATTGCCGCACAGTGGGGTAGTCGCTCGATTTCGCTGGACAAAATCATTTTAATCACTTCACGTGTCTGAATGTACCTGCTAACTTATTCGTGGCATTTTAACTTGTATAAAGTAACGATGAACAAATAAAAATAATTACGAACAAATACAAATTATTAACAAAATATTCGAAATATTATTTTGATCACTCAATGAAATCGAAACGTGCCTATTTATTTATTTACGGTATTTTAACGTAGTGGAAATAATGTTGAACGCAATAGCAAAAATGTAGGATTAGAACAATACACACAATTACTATATAATTAGTGAAAAACACTTTCCAACTAGAACTTTCATTGTTCTCGTCGGAAACAAATTTAACCTTAAAGAACGCTAAATAAGGAAAGAACCCAAAAAATTCAATTTACTGTTGTTTGAGAACAATAATTCAAATTACACATGAAGGACGATGACGAGTTTTACCAGACAATTTATCAGTTATTATAGAAAGCGAGACTCGCAAGGAAGCCGCGCAAAATGGGAAAATAAAACAGGAGACCGGCGATAAGCAGCACTTTAAAAATTGATTCGATCGCCATTCTTTCTCCGCTGACGTAGCGGTTATTCATTTACAAATTCGAATCCACCCCCGATGGGTGCGATCCAGAATACCAACGAGACACGATTGTGACATAAAGTTGGATAACGCTAGACCGAAATAAATCGTTGGACTTTCTTGACGAAAAATACACAGAGAGTAAGAGAGTGAGTAAGAGAGAGAGAGAGAGAGAGAGAGAGAGAGAGAGAGAAAGAGAAAGAGATAAATAGAATCACGACGTGCAATGACGTGAGAACTAAACGTGTGCGAATATTTGGAATATCGAATTTGAATCGGGATGCTCAAGACTTCGCAGTATCCAGGTAATTTCGCAAGAAACTACACGAACAATCTGAACTCTCTGAAGCATTTCCGTTCGGCTGAAACCATTCGCATACTTCAAAATTATTCGTCTTTCGAGGCGCTCTAGCAAACAGAAGAACGAGACCCGTCATCTCTAAAGAAAATCACTATGCTAAGGATTCATTGATCTCAATTCGATCTTAATTCATCTTCGATTTCGCAAAATATCCGGTTTCTTTCGAGGTGAGAAAATCGTCTGTGACTGTAATGGAGAGTTTGCATTTTTCAGTAGCGAAAAGTTTTGTCGTTGATTTATACGCTTCTTTCTGGAGGGTCGTCAGTTGGGAAACAATAAATATCCGAGGGTCTAAAAAAAACAGTGGTATTCATAAAATAGAGGATTTAGCTACAGTTTGATCGCTACAGCTATTTCCAGGTCCTCCATCGTCCAAAAATATTTAAATACTCTTCTTTGCGACTCTCCGAACAAAATACGAGCTATAATTAACGCTCAAGTATTGTCGACCGTCGTCGGCGAGACCGGTCTCGGCTCTCTCATTCGCACATATTTTAATTTTGATTAGGATTGATTGACACGAAACATGCGGTTTTCATGTTCGCTCTTATATTTCTCTGGAATAATAATTTTAGAATGAGTTGTNGGGGGGGGGGGGTTGTAAATTTCGCGCGTCATACGCTCAACTACGTCTCTAAAAATACAGGGACCGAGAGTTAATGGCTCGGGACATTTGTTTGGACTCGAGAGTCGTTCGAACAAATCATTTCTTCGGCGTGATGCAACGATTATCGGTCCAGCATTATTTGTTTCGTTATTTAGGTTCGTTATTGCCGCACAGTGGGGTAGTCGCTCGATTTCGCTGGACAAAATCATTTTAATCACTTCACGTGTCTGAATGTACCTGCTAACTTATTCGTGGCATTTTAACTTGTATAAAGTAACGATGAACAAATAAAAATAATTACGAACAAATACAAATTATTAACAAAATATTCGAAATATTATTTTGATCACTCAATGAAATCGAAACGTGCCTATTTATTTATTTACGGTATTTTAACGTAGTGGAAATAATGTTGAACGCAATAGCAAAAATGTAGGATTAGAACAATACACACAATTACTATATAATTAGTGAAAAACACTTTCCAACTAGAACTTTCATTGTTCTCGTCGGAAACAAATTTAACCTTAAAGAACGCTAAATAAGGAAAGAACCCAAAAAATTCAATTTACTGTTGTTTGAGAACAATAATTCAAATTACACATGAAGGACGATGACGAGTTTTACCAGACAATTTATCAGTTATTATAGAAAGCGAGACTCGCAAGGAAGCCGCGCAAAATGGGAAAATAAAACAGGAGACCGGCGATAAGCAGCACTTTAAAAATTGATTCGATCGCCATTCTTTCTCCGCTGACGTAGCGGTTATTCATTTACAAATTCGAATCCACCCCCGATGGGTGCGATCCAGAATACCAACGAGACACGATTGTGACATAAAGTTGGATAACGCTAGACCGAAATAAATCGTTGGACTTTCTTG